TCAGAGAATGACAAGAATATAAAGTAGGATACATAAGAGAATGTCTTTTGACTTTGAATAGAGAAACAGTTATGACTAACTGTTCTGAAATCAACCTAAGTTTCTAGGTGCACTAGCCAGATGTTTGAGGCACACTCTCTGGTGCTCCCCTAGTAGTCAGAAAGGTGCAAGTCTCTGCTCCATCACCACTTGGTAACTAGGGCTGTGAATAATAATACCAAAATACGAGGCAACTGCTGGAATACCAATACCAAAATGCCACACTGTTTCAAGACTTGAGATGTGTACCGACCATCTCCAGTAGATGCTGTCCAAGTCAGTGCTACTATTATAATATATATTATATTAATAATAATGAACATAAGATGTCTCAATACTAAAAGAATCAATGGGTCAGAACAGATTTGGCTTTTGATTTGCACAATCTGAGCATCTTGATCCTAGATTCAAATCTTTAAAATATCATATCAAATTTGCAAGAAAAATTAAGATATAAGCATACTTAATGTTGACAAAAGCACTTTCATATATTGCCAACGGGAGTGTAAATTGGTACAATTTACATACACAATGGAATAGCATAAATGTCTTACAGATATTCATTTCCTTTGACAAAGAATCTATTCCAAAGACATAATCTTAATTTCAAAGTGAAATCATTACACTAAATCTTCAATGTGGCTGCTATTTCTAATAAAAATGTAGGAATAAAATACCTACATTTGCGCCTATAGTAAAAAAAAAGAATATAACTACATAATGATATTAAAATGTTAACAGGTTTTAAATACCATGTAAAATGCTTATGACACAAGTTTAAAAATCAATGGTATACAATTGGATAAATAGTATTTATTACCTATCCACCTTTTTTAAACAGAGGAAAAATGTCTAGAGGGAATTATGCCAAAATCAAACAGTGATTGTCACTGGGGAATAGGATTATGGATGATACTTTCAGTGCATACTGTCTGATTATTCCATATGAGCACCTATAATATTTTCTAATCACATCACTCCCATCTCATTTTCTAAATAGAACCACTATTCACAATACAGTATAGATCCTTCCAGATCCTTTTTACACATTTAAGAACAAAGCAACTTTCTATAAATGGGATCCTTCTGTGCACACGGGTCTAAAGCATTCATATATGACTTTCATAATCAGAACAATACATCTTTTTCATGAAAATATATTCAGATAATTGTTACCAGGGAGGTGGAGCAGCTCAGTGATTCTCCACGGCCTCTGCTTCTTTCCTCATTTAGAATGCCTCTGGTTTTTCTACTTCCTCCTATACATTCTGGAAGAATTCCATCAGAGAACTGGCCCTGGTAAGCCAAGTCTGCTGCCGGAGTGACCACACTGAGGCAACCTCAAACATGCCCCGTTCCAGTGAATGGGGCATACATTTCAATCCCTAAAAGGAGCAAGAATTCACTCAACTTGTTTTTATTTTTTTGGTTAGGGTCTTAATCTGTTGCCCAGGCTGGAGTCGGTGGCATGATCATAGCTCACCACAGCCTCAACCTCCTGGGCTCAGGCGATTCTCCTGTCTCAGCCTCCCGAATAGCTGGGACTACAAGTGTGCACCACCACACCTGGCTAATTTTTTTAAATCTATATTTTGTAGAGAAAGGGTCCCACTATGTTGACCAGGCTTATCTCCTGGGCTCAAGCAGTCCTCCTCCCTTGGCCTCCCAAAGTGCTAAGATAACAGGTGTAAGCCACTGCGCCTGGCTTATCTCTTTTTTTCTTACTATGGTATATATTTTCATGTGTTGCATATTCCCTTTAAAAACCTTTTAGTGGATTACATTAACATAATGTTTGGTGCCTATGCTTCCTATGCTAATTATAAGCAAGTGTTAATGTCTGCTATGCAAATGACAAGCAAATTTAGTAACTATGCTATAACACCGTAAGGGAAAAAAGGTGGGAATGAGAGACAACCCCTAATTCATTAATCCACAGTGGGCCACTCACTCATTTTAATTTACTTGAGAAAGGTTACTCTCAGACTGCACTATATAATTACATCCTTGGTAGAGAAAGACTGACTGGGCCCTTTCTCCTTGTTCATTACAATGCAGAGTCTTCTTGAAGAGCATTTAAGCTTCAGGGTTGACTCCCAAGTTCAGGATCATTCATCTTATTAGCAAGAGCCATTTGTTAAAGGCAAGTCACTGTTCTGGGGACTGTAGGAGACACAGTTATGCAACAACATAGATTCTTTATTAGCGGTAATTGTATGTTTCCTCCTGAGACCAGGAACTATGGCTTCTCACTAGAATGAGATCAGTCATTTGGAGAATAATCCAAGATTCCAGCTCTTAGGAGATTACTGAGAGGTTTGGGAACATCAAAAACTCAAACCAAGGGGACCTAGGTTAAAAAAAAAAAAAGGCAGAGTACTAGAACATGACCATCACCTAGGAAGTTAATACCCAATTGCCTATACTGTACCTGATTTATATCTAATGCTGTACAAGTGATAAAGATTGGTTAGCCCCGACCACAGAACCAGTATCGAGAGCATCCACAGAACATCGAGGAGGGTCAGAGATGCTTGATCTGATTAATACAAGCACTATATTCTACTACAAAAGACTTTTTTTTTATTCACCACAGTTCACCCTGGCCTGGAAGAAACGTCACTAGAAACTACTTTCATCATATAACCTTCAGATTGAGAATTCCTTTTCCAGTTCTGAAAAGCAGCACCCTAGCTTATCACACGGTCACTGGAATGGTAGCCCCACCTTATCCCCATCTCTTAGAGCATGCTCAGTATGAGTCCAATCAACCCTAAAATACAGGTGACCTCAGTGTCCCCCAAAAAGTTATCTGGGAGAGAGCACCCAGCCATCTCCAGTGGCATCGGTCACCTTCTTTCAAAATAAGGAAACTGTTATTCCTCTCTGTAAACTAGATTTTTTTTTTTTTTTGAGCTGGAATCTCACTCTGTTGCCCAGGCTGGAGTGCAGTGGCACGCTTACAGCCACCCCAGTGTCAATCTGCTGGGCTCCAGTGACCCTTCCACCTCAGCCTTCCAAGTAGCCAGAACTACAGGCTTGCACTACCATACCTGGCTAATTTTTGATTTATTGTAGAGACAAGGTCTTGCCAAGTTGTCCTGGCTGCTCAAACCCGCAGGCTCAGGTAATCTACTGGCCTCAGCCTCCCAAAGTGCTGGGATTACAGACTGAGTCACCGAGCCCAGCCTGAACTTTTTTTTTAAAGTTAATTTTAGAAGGACAGAAGCACTCTTTTATTTACCAATAATATATCTTCTAAACATGGGATATAGTCTTTTCTGTTGGAATGTGAAATTCTTAGATGATTTGTACAGAATTATCTATTCCTATGTTTCTTCTGTATGGACAGAACATGCCAAGCATTTTTAGCAAATGCCTTCATCAACAGATATTTTTCTTCTAGAAGCTAATGAGAAAATTCTGGAATCAACAGGGGCCTTATCCCTGGCTAGGCTTGCTCTACCTATCATGAATAATTTATGAAAGCCTGGTTTAGGCGTATGCTTTGGATTTTTATTTTGGCAATGAGTTAATCAAGGTGTGATAATACTGGGAGTTAGTTAGAGTGAGTTTTAGGTTTCTCTGAAATGATGAAAGAGTTACATAAAGTCTGTGGCCTCTGGTTAGTGTTTTTCCCAGTCATGTCCCAAAGTCACCCTTGTTGTCCCATTTTCAGTGTCCTGGGCTCACACTGTAAACGGTGCTGACAGTAGCTTGTCAGAAGGTTCTTTGGAAAGTTTCCAACTTACTGTCTTGGCAAGTGACCAAAGTTAAAAGCAAAGTGAATCTTCCTGGGGGATGGTATTTCAAAGTAAATGACTACTGTTAGCTGCCACCTGATTTCTACCATAAAATTAGAATGCTATCTTCCTCTTAGCAATTAGCCCATCTAAATGAAGTTCTACTTAATTCATTTGAAAACAGCCCTTCTATCCTTCTTGCATAATTAAAGGTGTCTGACAATTCATTCTGAAGTTATGCTTTTTCATCTACTAAAGCAACAAAATTATTCAAGTGAGTAATCAACAATGGGCATTAAAACAGCTCATCTTTATAAAAATTGGGCATTACTTCCCTGTGGAGATAAGAAGCAGTTCTCGGCTGCTCAGGTGCTAACAATTCTCAGAGTGCTGTGAGGAATAAATGAAGCAAATCTGGGTGTGCCTGGTGTGAGCCAGGCACAGCCCTCAACTCTTTTGCTCAAATCAAAAGTGAGAGAGCTGAATAAAAAGATCATGGGCCGGGCGCGGAGATCCATGCCTCTAATCCCACCAATTTGGGAGGCAGAGGCAGGAATATCGCTTGAGCCCAGGAGTTTGAGACCAGCCTGGACAACATAGTGAGACTTCACTTCTACAGAAAGTTACAACTATTAGCCAGACGTGGTGGCATCTGCCTGTAGTCTCAATTACTTGGGAGGCTGAGACAGAAGGATCACCTGAGCCCAGGAGGTCAAGGATATAGTGAGTCATGGCTGCACCACCGCACTCCAGTCTGGGTAGCAGAGTGACGCCCTGTCTCATGATAATAATAATAGCAATAATAATGGTTCATTCCTTTTGTTCAAATAGGAAGAAAGTTGAATAAAATAAGCTAGAGGTAGTATAATTTTAAGATGGTTAGTTTCAGATTTTAAAACTAGGATGCTAAAAAAATACACAAACAAAAATACATAATGAAATATTAAAGATCACTGCATTCTTTGCTGGTCCCTGAAAGTTTTAATGAAGCATATGTTGAGGGAAAAATATACTAAGGGGAATATACATTCTTTGCTTCTTTTAACAAAGTACTTCATTTTCCCAGAAGATTTTGTTGAATTCGGATAGCACTAATCTACATCCTGAAATAGAGAATAGTCATTCCTTCAGACCAAACATTCAAACCTAAGACAGAAAGTGAGGAAAGAAAACAAGAAACAAAAACGCAAAATGAACTCTGGAAGAGTTGAACTGTACCTTGTATTTCAAAGACAACATCCGCAAGCATTGGTTTATTAAGGAAGAACTTGAGGGAAGTGTTGTAAAACCACAAAGGTTTTCTGGCTTGATAGGTTTTGCAATTCCTTAGGCAATTAATCTGTAAGGAAAAATAAATACAAGGGAAAGGTTGCTTAATACACTTTTATAATATGTATGCTGAGTTGAGAATCTGAACAACTGTGCTAAATTTCTGAAGAAGTCACGAGTATCTACTCTGTGGGACATCTCTGATCATAGCTTCCAAGAGAACTTACCCTCAGGAAACACACCTGCTACCTGTCAACGAGCAACACTACTCTCCTAGGCATTCACAGCAGAAATCAGATTGCCTAACTGAACACTCCACGTTGCAGCCAAACTGTAAAGTTCTGAGTCCCTGGGAGTATTTGCTGGGAAACAGACAACCACAACCCAACCTCATATAAATGCCAACGAAGATTTTTTTATACGTACAACCTAATTTGTTTATTAAGAAAGTACACAGACAAAATTTAATTTGTAAGTAAGAAAAATACAGTTTTCCCTGATCACACCATGTCCTTCGCTTACTAGCTTGACATTTTCTCCTAAAGCAATGAACATTAAAAAAAATTCCTGAGGTTGACTGGGTGCCATGGTCCATGCCTGTAATCCTTCCAGCATTTTGGGAGGTCAAGGCAGGAGGATTGTTGAGCCCAGGAGTTCCAAGACCAGCCTGGGGCAACACAGCAAGACCACATCTCTATAAAAAATAAAAATAGAAAAATTAGTCAGGCGTGGTGGCATGCATTTGTAATCTCAGCTACTTGGAAGGCTAAGGCAGTATTCTTTGAGCCCTGGAGGTCGAGAATGAGGTGAGCTATGATGGTGTCACTGCACTCCAGCCTGGGTGACACAGTGAGATCCCCAACTCAAAAAAACAAAAACAAAATAAAAAAACCTGAGAGTGATAAATTGGTTTGTCTTAATTTCCAATCTTATAATTCTGACTGTCCTTCCTATCCAGCACAGACTACTAGAATCTAGGAGTTGCCTGGACCTCTGTTCTTGAATGCCAGAGAACCTCCTCCGTGAAAACACCCGTGCTCTGGAGGCTCTGGTAGCCTCCAGAGCAGTATCTCTGTCTGACTCGGGCTCTGGTGCTTTGTTTATCCTTTCTATGATCTTTTCAGGCATACCCTTGTTCCAGCCCTAGAAGTCAATAGCCAGCCTCTCTTCCCTCATCTTTCACCCATTTATTTTCTTTTTAAAAATGTATTCTATTTACACTGTATAAACAAAACAAGCCTGGACAACATTTTCAGGTCGAGTTACTCAAAAGATGAAGTAAGAAGATTTATTTTATCTTATTCCATTTTACTTTTTATTTTTTTGAGTTAGAGTCTTGCTCTATCACCCAGGCTGGAGTGCAGTGGCACACTCATGACCACCCCAGCGTCAACCTGCTGGGCTCCGGCGATGCTTCCGCTTCAGCTTTCCAAGTAGCCTGAACTACAGGCATGCACTACCACACCCTGCTAATTTTTTATCATAGAGACGAGGGCTCACCAAGTTGCCTGGATTGGTCTTGAACCCGCGGGCTCAGACAATCCACTCGCTTCGGCCTCCCAAAGTGTTGGGATTACAGGCTGAGCTACTGAGCCTGGCTCATTTTATTTTTTTAAGACAGAATCTCTCAGTCTGTCACCCAGGCTGGAGTGTAGTGGCATGATCACAGCTCATGGAGCCTTGCACTCCAGGGCTCAGATAATCCTTCTGCCTCAGTCTCCCAAGTAGCTGAGACTACAGGCAAGCGCCACCACACCCAACTTTTTTTTTCTTTTAAATTTTTGTTGTAGAGACGAGAACTCGCTATGCTGCCTAGGTCAGTCTCGAACTCCTGATTCAAGCAATCCTCCTGCCTTGGCCTCCCAGTGTGGTGGTATTATAGGCATAAGCCACCATGACCGGCCGAGAAGTCATTTTAAATACAGGGATTCACTAGGAGTGCAATCTCACCTAAAGTCTATTATCTCATTTGGAATGAATTAGTTATGATTTTTATTGAAATATTTTATTTTACTCATTCCTGATGGCTTTACCCCCTACCCCTGCTGAATCTTAGAACTTCAGCCTTGGTTGGAATGGGAGAACACAAATGACTCTGCCTGGTTAGTTATGGAACTCAGAAAGCTTTATCCCTAGGAAATAATCAAGCAAGCAACTTTGGCAATAAAAGAATAAATGACATCTACTCCCCACTCTGGATTAATTGACTATGGATTAATCTTTGGTTGGGGGGGGATGATACTATCTTTCCTCACCAGGAAGAAGAAAACCCACTCCAGAATGGCGCCAATGAGCAAGACAGAGAGGTAAAATAGGATCACACAAATCCTGGTCCTATAAAGTACATTCTCAGATCCTATACACCAGGTATGTACAACCCATGGCCCGGGACAGCCAGTAATGTGGCCCCACAAAATCTTTTAACATCACGTGTTTTTTTGCATTTATTTTCTTTGTGACCCCATGTATAGTTTCCATTTTTGAAGTTCACAATCACACCTTCTTCATGATAACGCTTTTTGGCAGTGCACACATTTGTGAGCAGCTGTTTTCAACTAAGTACATGAAAAGTAAAATTTGAACAAACATTTCTGACAAGCACCTTGAGAACTTACAAAGAATTGTGACCACTTCCATCAAACCAGACATTGATAGATTATTTTTACAAAAACAGGTCAAATTTCCTGCTGGTCTTAGAGTATTCTCATTTTTCTAAACTGTATAATTAAAAAAAAAAAGAAGTCTTATTATGTATATACAGTAATGGTATTATATAATTTATGTTGCTGTACAAGACAATGCTTCTTTATTTGAGTAACAGAGAAGCCAAAAGTTTGGACAACCCTGCTATACACAACATCCCATAATAAACAATGAAGGAACTGGGGTATAGGATTCCAGTGACTGCCACACATAAAGGAGGGATACTGTCGGAAGCATCACAGTACTAGAGAGCTAGCAGGGGCTTTAGAAGTCATCCAATTTATCCCTCATTTCCCAAGACGCCCTGACTTGCTCAAAGCCACAGAGAAAATTTGTGGCAGACTCACAACTTTCATCTACATTTCCCCAACCTCAATTCTGTGTTACATCCCTGCGCTGTGCTCAGTGAATGAACAGTCCCTGACTCTGGGAAAGCACAGGATAACAGGGTGGAAGAATTCTTCTCTCCTGCTGTGCAAAGGCAGGCATTTAGTACAATATAATGGGACAGTATAGCCCCCGCCTCTCCTGCCCCAGGAAGAATTAATTTCATTTTCAGTACTTCAAGAAGTATGTTCAAAATCAGACCCAAGGAGAGGTGCAGGGTCAAAACAAACAGCAACCCTTCTGTCCTTATCTGTCATGTAAAGGTTGTAAACGTGTATACTGTGAATATTTTATAGATGTATCTTATGTATGAAAGTATATGTGTGTACACAAATACACATATATATGTGCACACAGGTGTACATATGTACACGTAGATATATGCACAGAGAGAGAGAAAAAAACAAATCTGTACACAGATTCCCTCATCACCTTTGCTTTGAATTTGAAAAAAAAAAAAAAAAGAGGGCAGAAATTTGGAGAGAACACATATGTCCACAATATACACGTTCACTAGTCCATAAACAAGTTCATCTAGAAAACTAGAGGAACTATTTTGAAAATGAGAATGCAGGCATCTGTGCACATTTTGACAGAAGGTTTATTTAGAGCTGAATTAGACTGCGAGAGCTGCCATCTGGCCATACACACCTGAGAAACTGGAAAGCTTCTGTATACCTGCTTCAGCGTATTCCTGAAACAAAACATCTTGCCCCTTAATTCCACGTTACTTTGCTTTTTTGAAAAAGACTGTTTTCTCAATTTTTGAACAGTCAGGAATCTTCATTAGAAGCTAGTACTGTCTTACATTTTTAGGTTGTAGAACTGACAAAGTGATTGATTTAAAAAAATTAAGCCGGGCTCGGTGGCTCAGCCTGTAATCTCGCACCTTTGGAAGGCTGAGGTGAGTGAATTGCCTGAGCCCACGGGTTCAAGACCCGCCTGGGCAGGAGAGACCTCATCTCTACAATAAATCAAAAACATTAGCCAGGCGTGATATTGTGCGCCTGTAGTTCCAGCTACTTGGAAGGCTGAGGCGGAAGGATCGCCGGAGCCCAGCAGATGGAGGCTGTGGTGGCTGGGAGCGGCCACTGCACTCCAGTCTGGGTGACAGTGAGACTCCAACTCAAAAACAAACAAACAAACAAACAAAAATTTAAAGGAGTAACCATGTTTTTCTTACATTTAATATGAACTATAATCTGTTAGGCATTATACACAACTTACTTTTTTATCTATTGCAGTCAATTTGATTATCACAGATTCTGAAATAAGAATACACTTGCTAGATTAGTATAATGTCTTAAAATTTAACAAATTTATTGTTAAGCCCTTACAGACTCTCTAAGTTTTTTTGTTTTTGTTTTTTGAGTTTGAAGTCTCACTCCATTGCCCAGGCTGGAGATCAGTAGCACGCTCACAGCCACCCCAGCATCGACCCGCTGGGCTCAGGTGATCCTTCCACCTCAGCTTTCCAAGTAGCTGGAACTACAGGTGTGCACTACCACACCTGGCTAATTTTTAAATTTTTTTGTAGAGATGAGGTCTCGCCAAGTTGCTCAGGCTGGTCTCGAACCCATGGGTTAAGGCAATCCTCTCACCTTGGCCTCCCAAAGTGCTGGGATTACAGGTTTGAGCCACTGTGCCTGGCAGTTACTGGAATTTTAATGTACATAAGTTTATGGCCATATACTGAGTCTGTATTTATTTATTTATTTATTTTTAGTTGGGCATCTCATTCTGTCACCCAGTCTGGAATGCAGTGGCATAATCACAGCTCACCACAGCCTCAAACTCCTGGACTCAGGTGATGCTTCTGCCTCAGCTTCCTGAGTAACTGGGACTACAGGTATGTGCCAATTAATTTTTTTTTTGTAGGGTTCGAAGTCTGACTATGTTGCCCATGTTAGTCTCAAATTCCTGGGCTCAAACAATCCTCACTTCAGCCTCCCAAAGTGCTGGGATTATAGGTGTGAGCCACCACACTCAGCCTCAAAGTATGTATTTGTATAACCTGAAGCTAATTTGTATTTTTGAACCTATAATCGATGATATAATCCTTAACTGTCCACCTGGTTGAGCAGATTTCTCAGAACTCTTGAAAAGGCACATGCAGAAACTGCCTTTGTCTCCACAACTACTTGGGACTTAAATCATGAGGAGTTAGAAAACACTGCCTCTAATAACCTTTACTAGAGCTGGACAAATTTAATGGTCCTACTCTTGACATAGATCGTGTATTCCCAGAGCTCCAGGGGAGTGTTTCAGAAGACGGAATTCACAAATAAGCATTTTAAAGACATGACTCACATATTTTAATTCTTACATTAATTAAAATCTAAGACAGTGAGAAATAACCTATGTTTATGTTTAAAACACATGGCAAAAAAATATATACTTAAGGAAAGCATTACACTTATATGTTTTTTGACTCTTCTAATGACTCAATATTACATTCATTATAGCATGCTGAGTTATAATTCAGAGAGTCAAAGGAAAGTAACGTACAACAAATTAATTTACCTTTCCTGGTGTTTTTAAAATGCATTTAACCTTCTCTATTACATTTGAAACATCCCCAGAATCTTTCAACTTCTTCCTGATATCTTCTTCCAATTCTTCCCACTGAAAAGCACCTGTAAACAAATTAGCACATGCTGGGTGTTTCCAACTATTGAAGCAGGAGGTAAGAAATATAAATCTCTTAATAAATAGCAACATTCCCTTTTTTAGTATTTTCTTTTAATTTTCTTTGCCAAATATATATCCTTATAATTACACAAAAACATTTAAACAGCGCTAATATAAAAAAAAAAATTAGTTTGCCTTTTCCTAAATTATTCCTCAAAACCTGAAGTTTTCCTCCCTGGACAGCTGCCACCTCTGTAATAGTGGCCGGCTAGTGACAACAGCAAGGGTCACAATATAAGCTTCCATGACAAATGGTCCAGCACCTAGATTATTTACTTGCCCTTGGTAAGAAGGTAGACATGACCTTTCCCAAGGTTGAATTAAATCCTATTCATCTGGGCAAGCAGTGGCTACCATCAGATTGAGGAATATGCAGCAGAAACAGAATACATTTGGAAGGTCTTGTGCATTGTCAAGGTCAGATGGGGATGTCTGAGAGCCAACTCAACAAATGAAGGGAGTGGCATAATTTCCTGATGAGTTACATGACCGTGGCGTTGGAGCAAGGTAACCTCACTTACACTTCCTTGTCTTCACCCCAACCCAGCTTCAGAATTTTCTCTTCCTAGGCTCACTTTGATTCCGTCTCTTTGATTCCTCTGGTTCTCACAAAATTCCTGTTCTGTGGTCAGCAAAAGTTGACCTTTTCTCCAAGCACTCCTCTCTCTCGGCCTACAGCAGCCTTCTATCCAGTCTCCCTGCTGCCTGGTGGCCTTTTCTTCATCAAATCAACCCTATGACTCAATGCTGGTCCGTTTTCAAAAGCACAAGACTGATAGAACATTCCAAGAGATTACCCTCATCCATCCCACAACTTACGGAAAGGCCTAACTCATAAAAATATAATTCAGAGGCCGGGCATGGTGGCTCACGCCTGTAATCCCAGCACTTTGGGAGGCCTAGATGACTGGATTGCCCGAGTCCACGGGTTCAAGACCAGCCTCAGCAACTTGGTGAGACCTCATCTCTACAATAGATCAAAAAATTAGCAGGGCACAGTAGTTATAGCTACTTGGAAGGCTGACGCAGAAGGATCACCGGAGCCCAGCAGGTCGATGCTGGGGTGGCCATGAGTGTGTCACTACACTCCAGCCTGCAACAGAGTGAGATTCCAACTCAAAATAATAATAATAAGTATATATATTTATATTACAGAAAGTGTACAGTGTGTGGTTATGGCAGGAGACCCAGGATAGAGTCCCACATCGGCTGTGATTTCTAGCAAGTCACTTCACCTCTCTGGCAGTTGGAGATCCTTTTCTATTTACTCCTAATCTGCTTCTTCCGATGCCTCATTTGCTCTATCCACCCCTCTGCCAGAAGCCTTCATGGATACTGGGGAATGAGGAGGGTACATAATAAACATTTGTTGAACCAACGGGATCATGTAATTGCAGCTTCTTTGTAATAAGTGGAGCCAAATCAGATGGAAGGTCGGACACAGGGCTCTTTCCAGCTGAGCCCTGCGGCATGGGGCACCCCTGATATGTAGTATTTACCTTTTCTGTGATGTGAATACTCCCTCCATGGCCCAATTCAAGTTACCAACATGACATCCTGGAACACGGAACTGGGAATGATAAACACACTCGTGCTGTCATGGGCTGGCGTCGGCTCCCACACAAAAAGCTTTCTCCCTTTCATAGCTCCTTTTCTGCCTTCACTGTTAGCGCCCCTTCCTCCTACAGTTCCCAAAGGAATACAGTCTAGAACTCTATGCTTTTTGGTTTTCTTTCTGCACAAATGCTTTCTAACTTTGGGGTCACATATTCTTTTCACAGACTCTGATAAGTTTCTTTGGTTTTTCACTTCAGAAAATGTCACATGCACATACACATTATAGTCTGCAAAAAATGTCAGAGTAGGCGGGAGCAGTGGCTCATACCTGTAATCCCAGCATTTTAGGAGGCTGAGGCAGGAGGACCGCTTGAGTCCAGGAATTTGAGACCGGCCTGGGCAACATAGTGAGACTTCATTGCTACCAAAAATTTTAAAAATAGCTGGGTGTGGTAGCATGGGCCTGTTGTCCTAGTTACTCGGGAGGCTGAAGTGGGAGGATCACCTGAGCCCAGGAGGTCAAGGCTGTGATGAGCCATGATCATGCCACTGCACCCCTGTCAGGGTAACAGAGTAAGACCTCAGCTCAAAAAAAAAAAGTCAGAGTATAAGAAGCCAATGGATCTCAGATCAAGAACATTTCCTCTACGCCAGTGATTCTCAACCCTAGCTGTGTGTGATGCTTACCTGGAAATCTTTTATAAGATACCATCAGAGAGCGTCTCATTCCCAGATCAAGTAAATTAAAATTTTGGGTTTGGGACCCTGACACCAATGTTTTAAAGGCCTCCCAGGAAACTCTAACATGCACTGTGTACTACCAATGACCACTAGTCTTCCTTTAGAAACTTCACCTGTTATCAAAATCTAGGGTGAGTGGTATTTAGGAAATGGTAGGTATTGGTATTTTTTATTGTTTACACTCATGCAAGCTAAAGAATAACAGATACTTTCTCTGTGTTCTCTTTTAATATAACAAATTATGTTATATTTAAGTAAAAGTTACATTAAGTTATACTAGTGAACTCATATTAACTAAAGAACATCTAGACAATATCTCTGTTTAGAAGATTATCTGAAAGCAAGTATCAAATAACCTAAATATACAGACCCGGTAGCAGGCAAATCCTCACAAGCCACTGCTCTGAGGACACAGAAAGAACTAATGACTCAAAATGAAAGTAACATGAACTCTTACCAGCACCCTAATAATTGGGATGTTTTCATAATTACAAACGCTAACAAATCATCTTTGACACCTTTAGGTCCTAATCAAACAAAAAATTCTGTGTGTGTGTGTGTGTGTGTGTGTGTGTGTGTGTGTGTGTTAAGAAACATTTAACACAAGATCTACTCTCTTAAATGTTTATGTACATAGTACACTATCTGTTAACAATAAGCAAGATATTGTACCACAGATCTCCAGAACTTATTTGTCTTCCATTATTTACTGGAATTTTCCTTAGCTAACTTCTCACAGCACTTATTTAATTTACTTAGATGTTTAGAGAGCATGATAGACTCGTGGATGCTAGGCTGTGTTTTTGAGCAATGCAGAAAGGGAGCTGCCAGAGAATTCCAAGAACCGGAGAAAGCTAGTAAGCTGAAGATGATAGCTCTTCCCATACATTCATCTACTTTGTCGGCATTTCAGAAAGTGATGTGAAATTCCAAGGGCCATCTGTGACAGGAAGCGCTCAAAGCTAAATTCTTGAGGCTCTTACACATATTTCAGTTCCCAACCATCTAAGATCATGTGACTCAGGAATTTGCAAGCATAAGACTGTATCAAGTATTATAAGAATGTTACAATTGTATGCCATGTAAGGATTACTCCCTGCAGACCAGGAAACTGCTGGTCTTTTCAGATGACTCTTTCTTCTTTAGGGTTAGTCATTAAGTGCTTATACATTATGCAGTGTTTGTTGTTATCCAGTAAAAAATTAGCATATAGGCCAGACATGGTGGCCCAAATCTCCTAGCACTTTGGGAGGCTGAGGCAGGAAAACTGCTTAAGCCCAGGGGTTCAAGAGCAGCCTCAGCAACATAGAGAGAACTCTTCTCTACAAAAATTAAAAAATTAATCAGGCATGGGGGCTGTTCCTGTAGTCTCTGCTACTCAGGAGGCTGAGGTGGAAGGATCGCCTGAGCCCAGGAGGTTGAGGCTGTGGTGAGCCATGACTGTGCCACTGCACATTAGGCTGGGTGACAGGGTGGGACCCTGACACCAAAAAAATTAATAATAATAATATATACAGACATGCTCTGTGTCAATGGCCTTACAAATTCAAACAGGAAAATAAACCGAAATCTTATATGCAGATATAAAAAGTTCACAGGACTAGTCAGCTGGCCCTTCCTAATGTAGGATCAAATGCCCCTGGTGACACAATATGTGCACAATTTCAAGTTCCTAAAGGTTAAAATAAGTATATTATTTGAGAAGAATTAAGACATTCTTCGTAAATTGGTTTATTTTTAAAAAGAGGGATTTCAAGAGATAGGTTTACTATGATTTTCAAGCCCATGTTTGCTCAGGGCAAATATTCCTGAGCAAGTCATATCATGGAGTTCAACCCCTGTATCACCAACAGCCCCGCCAAACAAACAGCCCCTGTTTCCAATCTCCTCTAACATTACCCAAGGATAGATCACAGTGCTATCGTGAAGAAACCATTGTGTAATTGTGTCTTAAAATTTGTGTTTCGTTCAAGGTTTTAAAATGCCAGGCTCCTTTACTGTAGTCTCTGAGAAAAATGTAGTTTAACATGTTTGTTTGATTTAATAAAAAATACTTTTAAAAAAACCCAGTAACTTCATATGTAAAACTAGAAGATAAAACAAAATTTCAATACATATTTAGGCATTTTCTTTAGATAATGGAATCTGGGTGTTTTGTTTTTTCCTCTTAACAAATTTTCTGCATTTTTTCAGAACTGTCTTTTCTGTGCAAATACAGCTCTGGGAACTTTTTTTTCTTTTTTAATTGGAGTCTCACTCTATTGCCCAGGCTGGAATGCAGTGGCATACTCACTGCAGCCTCGACCTGCTGGGCTCAGGCGATCCTTCCACTTCAGCCTTCCAAGTAGCTGGAACTACAGGTGTGTGTCACCACGTCTGGCTAGTTTTTTTTACTGTAGATACGAGGTCTCGTCAAGTTGCTCAAGCTGGTCTTGAACCCCTGGACTCAGACAATCCTCTCGCCTCTACCTCCCAAAGCGTGGGATTACAGGCGAGAGCCACCACACCTGGCACAGCTTTCGGATCTTTTTAAAATGTCACTTAAATATAACTTTTGCTTGAACCAGAGGTCAGAATCTGTAAATAATTAAAGAATAACAAACAGGTACCTGCAGAACCAGTTTTTTCCCTTCTCCTCAACCAGCAC